TGCGGTGGCTGGGCATGCGGGCTACATGACCCAGCCAAAGCAGCCTTGCCTGCCGGAGGAGCTCACCGAAGGGACGTTGCCCAGATCTTTCCAGGATTTGTGAGCTCCTCACACAATCCAGCCTGGTTTAACCCCAGGATGGATCGTAGGCAGGCCAGCCTAAACGTTTTTAACCGGCGAAGATGCTCCATTAGGGGGGTCCATGTTTCGTAAGCGTAGAGAAGGGATGGAATTACCGTGGCCGAGAAGACTTGAAGCTTCGTGCGGAGCGACAGACCAGGTAGCTTCCACACAGCGTTACGCAACCGATGAAAAGATAATGCCGCTCGACTGATTCGGAGTGAGACTTCTGCTGTCAAACTGGAGCCAGTCATGAGCACACTGCCCAGGTATGGGAAACTCCTTCACTCTCTCCACAACTGCCCCATCACCGATTGGGAGTTGTGGGGGTGGAGTGTCCGATGGTACAAAATACCCAGGCAGGTGCTTAGTTTTGGTGGGGCTGATGGTAAGGCCCCATCTCTTAATGGCAAGCTCCAGGTTCAGCAGCAGCACCTCCAACTCCTCCTCTGAGTGAGCGGCAATTACCAGATCATCAGCATACGAAACATGTTTGACCAATAGGGAGCCATCCCTTGACCGCACCCGGGCATCGATAAGCCTCCCATTGTATCTGTACAAGAGGGAAATTCCTCTGGTACAGTCATCAAAGGCTTCATGGACTACGTGGTCGAAAAATATGTTAAATAATGTGGGAGCCAGAGGACATCCCTGTCGCACCCCGAGGTGAACAGGGAATGACTCCGACTCCCGGCCACGTAGTTTTACCCGGGCCCGCTCACCATCATTAAAGTCATTAATGATCGTGAGCAGAGGGTTAGGGACTCCGAAAGCACAACGAACAACCCAGAGCCCAGGCCTACTGATGGTATCAAAGGCCTTGACCAGGTCAATAAAGCAGAAATGTAGGTCTCGTTGGAATTCCCTACACCTCTGGTGTAGCAAACGCACATAAAATATGGCATCTGTGCAGGACCGCCCTTTCCTGAAACCACATTGGGACTCCTCAAGCCTCTCCTCAGCGTGCCTAGCAAGGCGATGTTGAATAATCCTTGCCAGGACCTTTCCCGGCACACTGAGGAGTGAGATGCCCCTGTAGTTGTTATAGTCTGTGCGGTCCCCCTTCTTAAAGAGGGGGACCACTTGGGCATCCTTCCGATCCTGTGGAACCCGTCCAGTGGTCAAGACTGTTGTTATGATGTCATTTTGGGCGGTCTGTGTACAAACGCCACCCTCCCTCAGCATTTCGCTTGGGAGATCATCTCTGCCCGGTGCCTTTCCTGGTCTCAGATTCTGGATCGCCTTTAGTACTTCCTCAACAGATGGCACCTCAGCCAGCCATTCACAGCGTGTAACTTCTTCAAATATTAGAGGCACCGCAGCTTCAGCAGGGTCATCCCCAATTTGTCCCACGATTTTTTCCATGACGAGGGATTTCCCCTTACCCAGGACTTCACAGGAATGCTTAACAAATCTGCAAACCTGTTCATGTGGGTCGGAGATTGGATCACCGTTTTTTCCCCTAATGATGGTAAGAGGTGTGGCGCTGCAGGTTACTTTTTTGATGGAGTTAAATAGGGATTTGTGATCGTGGGCCATTGTGGCAGACACCATCTCCTCAGCAAGCCGCGACCACCACTCATCCTTGCAGCGGCTCATAGCTCTCTGAACCTCCGAGCGAAGGCTGCGGTAAGCCTCCTCAATCTCCGACGTGGGATGCTCTAGCCGATGAGAGTGGGCCTGTCGCTTTATCTCAAGCATCCTGAACACCTCCTCTGTCAGCAAGGGTCTCTGGGGAGGTCTGGACCGCGTACCCAACGCAGCCATTGCAGCTGCATGAGTCACAGTCCTAAACCTCTCCCATTTACCCTCGACATCAGGAGGAGTGGGGGACGATGCCAACCCCAGCCACAAGCGATGATGAAATTCTCACTTGCAACTTCAAACAGCTAGCTGAGATGAGGCCACGTTAGGTTGGAATGGGGTCATGGGTGTACACCCACCGCCGGAGTGGAAGAATGGCAGGCGCATCTTATAAATGACAATTCGATGGTCAGAGGGCAGATCAGCTCCACGGTAGGTCCTGGTGTCAAGGACATGGGCTCACATCCGCTGGTCCGTCACTATGTAGTCCAGCAGATGTTCTTGCTTGGACTCAGCATGAGTGAACGAGTGGGTGAGTGGGTGGGTGAGTGAGTGAGTGGGTGAGTGAGTGGATGAGTGAGTGGGTGAGTGGGTGGGTGAGTGGGTGAGTGAGTGAGTGGGTGGGTGGGTGGGTGAGTGGGTCGGTGAGTGAGTGGGTGAGTGAGTGAGTGAGTGGGTGAGTGGGTGGGTGAATGAGTTGGTGGGTGAGTGAGTGAATGGGTGGGTGAGTGGATGAGTGGGTGAGTGGGTTGGTGAGTGAGTGAGTGAATGAGTGGGTGGGTGGGTGAGTGAGTGGGTGGGTGAGTGGGTGACTGGGTGGGTGAGTGGGTGAGTGAGTGAGTGGGTGAGTGGGTGGGTGAGTGGGTGAGTGAGTGAGTGAGTGGGTGGGTGAGTGAGTGGGTGGGTGAGTGAACGAGTGGATGTGTGAGTGGGCGAGTGAGTGGGTGGGTGAGTGAGTGAGTGGGTGGGTGGATGAGTGGGTGAGTGGGTTGGTTAGTGAGTGAGTGGGTGGGTGAGTGGGTGAGTGGGTGGGTGAGTGGGTGAGTGGGTGAGTGGGTGGGTGAGCGAGTGACCTGAACTGCGAGCATTCCATCTTCATCCGGCATTATCCTGTAGCTGTGAACCACGTTCTGATGCCTAAACACACGAAGAATAGACACACACAGAATACACGCACACACACAGAATACACACACAGAATACCCGCATACACACACATAAAACACACACAGAATACACATACACAGAATACACACACACAGAATACACACACACAGAATAGACACACACAGAATACACATACACACAGAACACACACACAGAATATACACACACACAGAATATACACACACAGATTATACACACACAGAATACACACACACAGAATACGCACGTATACAGAATACACACACAATAGACAAACAGAATACACACACATACAGAATACACACATACAGAATACACACACAATACACACACACAGAATACACGCACATACAGAATACAGACACAATGTACACACATAATACACACACACAGAATACACACACATAAAGAATACACACACACCACACACACAGAGATTACACACACAGCATACACATACACAGAATACACACACATACATAATATACACACACAGAGCACACACATATAGAATACACACACATAATACACACAGAACACACACACATAATACACACACACAGAATACACACATACAGAATACACACACAATACACACACACACAGAATACACGCACATACAGAATACAGACACAATGTACACACATAATACACACACACAGAATACACACACATGAAGAATACACACACACCACACACACACAGATTACACACACAGCATACACATACACAGAATACACACACATACAGAATACACACACATACATAATATACACACACACAGAGCACACACATACAGAATACACACACATAATACACACACACACAGAACACACACACATTATACACACACACAGAATACACACATACCAAATACACACACAATACACACACATACAGAATACACGCACATACAGAATACAGACACAATGTACACACAGAATACACACACACAGAATATACACACAGAATACACATACACAGAATATATACACACACACACAGAATACACGCACACACAGAATACAGACACAATGTACACACAGAATACACCCACATACACAGAATACACACACACACAGATTACACACACATAATACACAGAATACACACACATACAGAATACACACACATACATAATACACACGCACACACACACAAAACACACACATACAGAATACACACACATAATACACACACACAGAACACACACACACATAATACACACACAGAATACACACATACAGAATACACACATACAAAATACACACACACACAATACACACACAAAGGCAAAGCTCCCCCTGTGTAGCCTTAACAGGGAGTGTGATGGAACAGATGGAGATTAGTCCACACACGGGTAGAAGGGAGTGAGATGGAACAGATGGAGATTAGTCCACACACGTGGTAGGAGGGGAGTGAGATGGAACAGATGGAGATTAGTCCACACACGTGGTAGAAGGGGAGTGAGATGGAACAGATGGAGATTAGTCCACCCACGTGGTAGAAGGGGAGCGAGAAGGAACAGATGGAGATTAGTCCACACACGGGGTAGAAGGGGAGCGAGATGGAACAGATGGAGATCAGTCCACACACGTGGTAGAAGGGGAGCGAGATGGAACAGATGGAGATTAGTCCACACACGTGCTAGAAGGCGAGCGAGTTGGAACAGATGGAGATTAGTCCACACACGTGCTAGAAGGCGAGCGAGTTGGAACAGATGGAGATCAGTCCACCCACGTGCTAGAAGGCGAGCGAGTTGGAACAGATGGAGATCAGTCCACCCACGTGCTAGAAGGCGAGCGAGATGGAACAGATGGAGATTAGTCCACACCCGTGGTGTCAGTGTCGGCACGTACAGCACGCAGAGTCCGTAGACGCCCGGGATGCTCTCGCTGTTCCGCACGAGGAAGCAGCCGTCCTGGCCGTCCTGCAGCAGCAGCTGCTCGGCCTTGACACGCGTGAGGTCCTGGTGGTACCACGGCATGCTGACGCCGCCGCCGCTGACGCCGCCGCCGCCGCCGCCGCTGACGCCGCCGCTCATCCTGTGGAACAGACAGTGGGCACGCAGCTTGATGATCAGCGCCCGCACTGCCAACGCCACTACCGCCGCCACCGCCGCCACCGCCGCTACCGCCACTACCACCGCCAGTACCTCCACCACCACCTCCACCGCCACCACCGCCACCGCCGCCACCGCCACCACCACCACCGCCACTACCGCCACTACCACCCCCAGTACCTCCACCACCACTACCACCACCACCACCACTACCGCCACTACCGCCACCACCACTACCACCGCCACCACTACCGCCACTACCGCCACTACCACCCCCAGTACCTCCACCACCACCACCGCCACCACCGCCACCACCACCACTACCACCACCACCACTACCGCCACTACCACCACTACCACCGTCACTATCTCCAACACCACTACCACCACTACCGCCACTACCGCCACTACCACCCCCAGTACCTCCACCACTACCACCACCGCCACCACCGCCACCACCACTACCACCGCCACCACCACTGACACCACCACTACCACCGCCACCACCGCCACCACCACTACCGCCACTACTGCTGCCACCGCCACTCCCGCCACCAGCACCTCCACCACCACCACCACTGCCACCACCACCTCCACACCCAGCCCCGGCCTCTTTCGTCTCTCCAGTGGTCCATGTGTACACACCGCAGCAGGTACTACAAAGGCAAAGATCCCCCGTGTAGCCTGTAACAGGCTGTAGGGGCAAGTGCTGTTAGCGAGCAGCACCTGTGAAGGCTACTGGCACTGTGGCACACGAGCGGGTGGGTGGCTACCAGCACCACGCCCGGCCGCCTTTGTCTCTCCACAGTGGTCGATGTTTAACGCACCGGGCACCGGGCTCTGGTGTTGTTGGTAGGCTCGTTGGGGGGGGGGGCGTGAAAGAGAGGATGTGAGGATAATTTTCCGTGTGTCTGTGTGTCTGTGTGTCTGTGCGTGTGTCTGTCCGGGAAAACAACGCCTTCCCCCCTCGCGATGCCGGACGGGCAACTCTGTCGTGGACAGTGCTGTGGGGGGAGGGCCAAATCCGATTGGCCCTCTCCCCTCATTGCGTCTGTGGCCACCACAGTGGCTAAACGGGGGCTCTGGATGGGTGCGAGGGGCTGGTAACCCCTCCACCTTCAAAAAATTACCACAAAACCACGACTGAAATATCTAACTAATAAGCTTGTGACGGAGGCCCCGGGGGGACAGGCGTCTATGACGTCTCCTGGCCAAACCCCAATTGGCGGAGCCAGGAGATTTAATCTCTACCCTCGGGGCTCCTCCAGAAACAACGAATAGCCACTTCGCGTGGCCACGTGGAATGTTCGAACGCTCACTGCGGAGGAGAGGCTGCCACTCCTCTGTCAGGAGCTGGACCGGTACCGCCTGGATCTCTGTGGCATTCAGGAGGTCCGCTGGACCGGTTCTGGCTCCTGCCACCATGAGGGGTAGACAGTCCTCTACTCGGGGCAGCAGACTGCCAAAAACAGGGTGTGGCTCTTCTTTTGAACACAAGAATGAAGGGTGCGTGGGAGCGTGGCAGTGAGGTGTGGGAAGCTGTAAGCCCCAGGCTACTTTGGGCTCACCTTCCCATCAACCGGAGGCGAGGAGTGGTGGTCGTGGTTGCTTATGCCCCCACCGAAGATGGACATCCGTGGAGGGATGCAGGCAAAGCCGATGAGTCAGATCCCTTCTATGACCTCCTGTCACAGGTGCTGGCTAAAGTGGCCCCTCGGGATAGAATCATCTTGTTGGGTGACTTCAATGCCCGAGTTGGTCATGATGCTGGCACCTGGTCTGGAGTGATTGGAGGGCATGGGCCAGATCAGCTCAAAACAACGGTAGGAGGCTGATAGATTTTTGTGCAGCCCGTGGGTTTGTAATTACCAAAACGCTGTTCCGGCATCGGCGCATCCACACAACATCATGGATGCATGCCGGGTCCAAGCAAGAACATCTGCTGGACTACGTAGTGACGAACCAGAGGATGCGAGCCCATGTCCTTGACACCAGGACCTACCGTGGAGCTGATCTGCCCTCTGACCATCGACTAGTCATCTGTAAGATACACCTGCCATTCTTCCACTCCGCTGGTGGGTGTACACCGTGGACCCCATTCCAACCTAAAGTGGCCTGGTCTCAGTTAGCTGATGAAAGTTGCAAGAGAGAATTTCATCATCGCTGGCAGCTGGGGTTGGTATCGTCCCCCACTCCTCCTGATGTCGAGGGTAAATGGGCAAGGTTTAGGACTGTGACTCATGCAGCTGCAATGGTAGTCCAGATCTCCCCAGAGACCCTGGCTGACGGAGGAAGTGTTGAGAAAAAAGCGACAAGCCCACTGTAATCGGCTACAGAATCCCACGTCAGAGAATGAGGAGGCTTACCGCAGCCTTCGCTCGGAGGTTCGGAGAGCTGTGAGGCGCTGCAAGGATGGGTGGTGGTCACGGATTGCTGAGGAGATGGAGTCTGCCTCAGTGGCCGGCGATCACAAATCTTTATTTAACTTCATCAAAAAAGTAACCTGCAGCGCCATACCTTTTAACATCATTAGGGGAAAAATCGGTGTTCCAATGTCCGACCCCTAGGAACAGCTTTGCAGATTTGCTGAGCATTTTTGTGAGGTCCTGGGGGAGGGGAAAGCCCTCAGTCAGGAAAACATCGTGGGACAACGTGGGGATGACCCTGCTGAGGATGCGGTGCCTCAAATATTGGAGAAAGTCACCCCCTGTGAGTGGCTGGCTGAGGTGCCATCTGATGAGGAAGTAATGAAGGCGAGTCTGAGACCAGGAAAGGAACCGGGCAGAAATTATCTCCCAAGCGAAATGCTGACGGAGGGTGGCGTTTGTGCACAGACTGCCCTATATGACATCATAACAACAGTCTGGACCACTGGACGGGTTCCACAGGATTGGAAGGATGCCCTGGTGGTCCCCCTCTTCAAGAAGGGGGACCGCACAGACTGTAAAAACTACAGGGGCATCTCACTCCTCAGTGTGCCGGGAAACGTCCTGGCAAGGATTATTCAACATCGCCTTGCCAGGCACGCTGAGGAGAGGCTTGCGGAGCCCCAATGCGGTTTCAGGAAAGGGCGGTCCTGCACAGGTGCGATAATTTCTGTCCGTCTGCTACAACAGAGATGTAGAGAATTCCAACAAGACCTATATCTCTGCTTTATTGACCTGGTCAAGGCCTATGATACCATCAGTAGGCCTGAGCTCTGGGTTGTTCTTCATGCTTTCGGAGTCGCTGACCCTCTGCTCACACTCATTAAGGACCTTCATGACGGTGAGCAGGCCCAGGTAAAACTACGTGGCCGGGAGTCCGAGCCATTCTCTGTACACCTTGGGGTGGGACAGGGATGTCCTCTGGCTCCCACATTATTTAACATCTATTTCGACCACGTAGTTCGTGAAGCCTTCATAGATGTACCGGAGCAATTTCCATCTGGTACAGATACAATGGGAGGCTGATCGATGCCCGGGTGCGGTCAAGGAATGGCTCCCTATTGCTCAACCACGTTATGTATGCTGATGATTTGGCAATAGCTGCTCGTTCAGAGGAGGAGTTGGAGACGCTGCTGCTGAGACTGGAGCGTGCCACTAAGAGCTGGGGCCTTACCATCAGCCCCACCACAACGAAGCACCTGCCTGGGTATTTTGTACCATCGGACACTCCACCCCCACAATTCCCAATCGGTGATGGGGCAGTGGTGGAGAGAGTGGAGAGTTTTCCAAACCTGGGCAGTGTGCTTATGACCGGCTCCAGTTTAACAGTAGAGGTCTCACTCCGAATCAGTCGAGCGGCATTATCTTTTAATCTTTTGCATAACGCTGTGTGGAAGCTACCTGGTCTGTCGCTCCGCACGAAGCTTCGGGTCTTCTCGGCCACAGTCATCCCCTCCCTTCTCTACGCTTGCGAAACGTGGACCCCCCTAATGGAGCATCTTCGCCGGTTAGAAACATTTAGGCTGGCCTGCCTACGATCAATCCTGGGTTTAACCATCTGGATTGTGTGAGGAGCTCACAAATCTTTGAAAGATCTGGGCAAGGTCCCATCAGTGAGCTCCTCCGGCGGGGAAGGCTGCGATGGCTGGGTCATGTAGCCCGCATGCCCAATCATCGCATGCCCAAACAGCTTTTGTTCGGCCGGATCGAGGGGGCTAAACGGGCGTGGCACGGGCTAGAGAAGAGATGGAGTGACGTGGTACAGGAGGACGTGGAGCTGAGTAGACTTGCCGATGACTGGTACCAGCGGTGTCAAGATCGGCCTCTGTGGAGGAGGCTCGTGAAGGACGCTACTGGGCAGTTGGAGGCAGTCGCCCTCCAACAACAACGGAGGGCGGAGGAGCGACGCTCACAACAACGAGCGGAGCACCGGGTGGCTAAAGCACAGCAAGTTGGCACAGTAGGGGGCACAGGTGGTGCATCAGCCAGTCATCTCAGTCAGTCGACCCGTGGCATCTGGGTCTGCCCCGTGACCTCCTGCCAGCGGGCATTCGACACTTCACGTGGCCTAAAGGTGCACATGGCCTGGCACAAGCGTCTTGGTGACGTCACCGCGAATGGCGATTGTTGTTGTGTGTACGTGTATGTGGAAGTGTAGTAGTTAGCGTGCTGCGCTACAAACCCGGCGGCCCGGGTTCGATTCCTGCTCACGGCCAACACCGGTGACGATTATCTGAACTGATCCCGGGCCTCCCCTAGGTCGACTCAGCCTCAAACGAGTGCCTGGTGCGGTGTGTAGTGAACATCGCCACTGGGGAGACAAAGGCGGCCGGGCGTGTTGCTGGCCACCCACCCTCTCGTGTGCTACTGTGCCGGCCTTCATAGGTGCTGCTCGCTAACAGCACTTGCCCCTACAGTCTGTTACAGGCTACACTGGGGATCTTTGTCTTTGTGTGTGCGAAACCAGGTTTAGAGTTTGAAGTTCAAGGTTTAACTTCTCCAAGCCGACCTCCCCCTCACTTCTCTGCCACCACCAAACGTCGCCTTCTCCACCCCC